TGATGTCTATCCCAGCTTCCTAGTTGTATGTGTGTATAAGGTACACAGTTTATTAGTCCGAATTCTCTATGAAATATATACATGTAAATGCAAAATATTGAACGAAAATGTAAATCTGATTTTTTTAAAATTATGCTGCTTTTTTTCAGGCCAGTCGCAGCAGAAGTCTTTGGACCTGACCAAGCAACAAGTGGAGCTTGTAAAGCGGGGATTGATGATGGCTTTCCTGCGCCTCGACGAAAAGCTGCACGACATCCTGTCGAACGAAAACGAGCGGTCAGGCAGCACGGCTGTGTGTGCGTTGATCGCGCCGTCACACATCTTCGTTGGCAATCTGGGCGACAGCAGGGCGCTGCTGTCGCGGTCGAACACCGTGTTCTTTGCCACCGAGGACCACAAGCCGTACCTGCCGAAGGAACGCGAGCGAATCGTCAACGCAGGCGGCTCGGTGATGATCCACAGGGTGAACGGCAGCCTAGCGGTGTCGCGCGCCCTCGGCGACTTCGAGTACAAGAGCGTCGATGGTCTTGGCCCTTGCGAACAGCTGGTCAGTCCGGAGCCGGATGTGTACGCTGTCAGGCGCGAGTTCCTGCAACCGTTGCTCAACGACGAGTTCCTGATCCTCGCCTGCGACGGCATCTTCGATGTCATGAACAACCAGGAGCTCTGCGACTTCGTACGGTCGCGGCTCAAAGTCACCTCCTGCTTGACCACCATCTGCAACCAGATCCTCGACGCGTGTCTATCAAAGGTAGGTGGCCGGCCGATCGCGTTGCATGTACGTGTGACAACATAAACAGTAGAAGTACTCAAATGGCGCTACAGGCCTAGTAAATCATGGTTATCTTGCTTCCAGATAATCATGCCCTCTTTAAGATGAAAGTTTATAACCTTTTCGACTCTAAGCAGTGTCGAGTCCCAACGATCATTCAGGCACGACAATCATCTCCCGTTTTAAGACCATTTTTCTCTCCCTCTTCTCTGTTATTAAAATTGCAGAAACACCTTTGACAAGCACTCCACCGATAGATCCGTCTATCCTTCTGTCTTCGCTTCTCAGTTATAAGGACAGTCGTTGCAGAAACTTTATCCAGTGCTTCCAGTCTTCCTCGATTAGGTATGTTCTATGAGATGGATTCCAACGCGCTATAATACTTGATCATTATGCTCATGTTCTTCGGTCTTGTTCTTTATGGCATTACTAAGAACGTCCATCTTGCCACTCTCTCCTCTCGCATTTGTGTCAAAAAGCATGTTATTGTTGAATAAAAATTATTAGTGTTTAATGATAATTAAACCAGAATACTGTTTTGTATTCATATAGTTTCTGGTTTGAATCAACCTAATCTATGTGCATTTTTGTTTCAGGGTAGCAGAGACAACATGAGCGTCATCTTGATTACGTTGCCAGGTGCGCCGCAAGTTTCGCACGAGGCCCTGGTGAGGGAGAAAGAGTTGGAAGAGGTGCTGTGTGACCGCATTCAACGTAAGCTGTCTTGCTTCGACGACCACCGTTTGATATTCGCTACCTCTACTATTGTATTTTGCAGGCATCGTAGAGCTTTGTGATCGTGAAGACGATGTAAACAACGATTATGTACTTACTGTGCTAATGAACCAGGAAGTTCCAGGGCTGCCTCCTGGAGCCGGACTTCACGCTCTGTACGTGTTTGTTTTCTTTTTTTTGTGAATCCAGTTTTATGATTGTTTTATGTCATGCTAAGTCGAAGTCTTCATGTTTCTTAGGAATTGCTCAGCATATATATTTTATTGTACAAATCGCTGACGTTTCGAGTCATATTCGGATCTTTGTCAAGATATAGTAATAGAAACAGATCTGCGAAATCAACGCGCTAAATTAAAGTTAATGCTGTAAACATTAATCCATGTGCAGCCAGAAATTGACTTCCATTTTAGACTCAACTTTGATTTAGCGTCGATGTTTTGTATAATAAAATATGTGCGGAGCAATCCCGTAAAAAGCACGAAGACCGTGGAATTAATCCCCTGCGTCAAAGAAACATGTTCATCTTTCAAGACTCACTTGAAGGATGCAGTTTTGAACTTGAATCCTTCACAAAGGATTCAACTTGTATATAAATTATTTAACTATCACAATTTTTTTGATTTTTAAAATGGAAAAGAGCGTTTGACACAGTGACGCAAAATCACCGAAGTTATTCACTGCAGCTGTAGAAGAAGGTTCAAAAAACTTCGTTTGAAAGATATA